GTGACGGCATGATACGGCTCAGTACATAATAAGAATAATTACATTTTCTGCTTAAGCTCTCAGCACATTCCATATTTCATTCTTGACCCTGTGATGGCTTTATGGTGCTGATATTATTAAAGTTACTAGCGCTAGCTAGAGGCTGTACTTTAGCCTGTTGTGCTACAGAACAGGAGTTTGAATAAATAGAGTAACTCGTTTTGTTTTGTCTTTTTTTTTTTTTTAAATAAAGGTGGGTAATTTCGAGTAACTTTCACATAATTCAACAAATATCAGAAAACACACAAACTATGTCTGCGCATTTTGCCCCAAAATTCATTTTAGAGTTTTAAATCAGACATATGAGTTGCTGACTTGTGTTTTGGTGAAACATCTTGCAAAACAAACTGAAGTATTCTCCTTTATATTATTCAAAAGTTCCATATAAATACTGCACTAGCAGTTTGGTACAGTTTAGTGCAGGCTATGCCAGTTACTTCAAACACTGTGTTGAAGTTAATAGTGACACACTAAGTTGGACTGGTACGGAGCAAGCTGTAGTGTTCATGGTCATATTAGGCTGCGTCAAGTGTAGCATACATGATTTCTATTTAAGAAGATGAAGATTAGATTCATCTCCCCAAATTCCATCTTTTATACTACCTTTAAAATATCTTGGGGTTAGAAATCGGCCATATAGCTGTGAAACATGTGCTTATATCTTGTTGACTTCACTTAGCTAAATCCACAAAGAGAAATGGATATCATGGTAGCAACATCACATGGCAGCTTATCAAATAAGACTCTACTAGTGGCTCAAAACAAGTTAGAATGCAACTTATATCTAAGTAACTGTTTCCCCAAGCTATAACTCCTGATTACAAACCATAGGGTATACTGTAATATCACCTGAAAAACAACAACAGAGCCAATGCAGTCCATGCACATGCACAGCACTGGATCACTACTGTCTATTAATGATATAAAAGAAGTAGAAACAACCAGATGCCTTTTTAAAGATACCTTAACCTCTCATTGATTATTTAATTTAAAACTATACAACTTTCAAACACTGCACACTGCATATTCTCTTGTTGTTCTGGTCTCACAGCCTTAACTGTGACCCACATTAAGTAGAGGATTACATTACTATGAATACGGATTATTTGGAATCTTTTCTCCTTGTGTGTGCTGCTGACCTCTCCAGATGACAGCACATTATTCATGTACTCCAAGAAGGACTCGTCTTTTATTTCGTTGTCAGTAAAGATGAAGCTGATGCCTTTTCCATGCTGGCCAGCTGTTCTGTACAAACTCTTCAGGTCATCCATCAGGTTGGATGTATTGTATGAGCTGGAAAAGAAAAGCATAAAATAAATATGCACACCCTTTCTTCACTAATAACTAATTTTACAGCTTCTAAAAATCATCCATACGTAGTTAAATGCAATCAAAAAGTGCAGCAGCAGAAAACTAGATCGCATAAAAACTTTAATTCATCTATTTATGTGCCAATTTGCATGAAATTTCTCATGAGATTGAAGCTCAAACTACATTTATTGGTGAGAGCAGTTTTAAAAAAAGTGTCGGCGCCCCAGTTTGAGGCTTGGACGATGAAAGTGAAGCACATCTTAGCTTGAAAGTTCACCTGCTTTAGTGTGTGAATGTCAAATTTATTGAATTATAAAGAGGCAGATGAAAAATAAGTTAGAGGGAAAATGGAAGAAGCTGCAAATTGGAGATATTAACTGCATAAACAACATGAGAGAGAAACCACAGATTACTTTCATCTGGTTCTTTAATGATTATCAGTGAGATGAGATACTCCATCCTGTAGTTAATAAGAAATTATAACAACAGCCCTAAGTGGCTGGGAGTTACGCTGTGACTGCCAGACTAGATACGCATTGCTGGTTATTAAAAATAACACACCTGTTCCCAACTCAACCCAGCAAAGTGATGAGTTGACCAGTTTGTAAAGAAGAAATAATATTTGAGGACAAATAATGGCAGTTTGAGAACAATGAAGCTAGTTAAGCAAGATACAGGTAAAGAGTAACCTCTCCACTCAAGGGAGAAAAGCTGCTTAAGTGAAAAGTAACATTGTGTCAGCCATAAGGATAAAGAGCCCGGACACAGACAGCATGACTACTAGCCACTCAGGGCTGCTGTGATGATAGAAATGCTTCTTTATATGCAGTCTAGTGTGCTTCTAAGAATCCACTGCAGCATATATACCAAAATAAATGCTTTTAAAAAATCTCTAGTAGGAATAATAGTGTTAGGATAACAAAGTTTAAAAGAAATTGTGTACATTAAAGCAACAAGAAAGTCTAAGTTACTGTACAGACAGAGGGAGAGAAAGAGAGTAAATTGGGTTTGCATGAAATAAGAGAACTATCTGTACTGGATGTGCATCTGAAAATCAGTTTTATGTGTGTATCAGAGAGAGCAGATGAAAAAGAAGGAAGGGACACACAATAGAGGTATCCGTTTTCACCAGGGATAGCTGTGAAGCTAAGAGGACAAACATGTGGTTCATTAATATTAATAGGAAACATTAAAATCTGTTTGGCGAACAAACCGGTGGAAAGTGTGACAATAAATGAATGTAGGGACTGAAGGAGGAAACTACTTGACAGGTTTGGAAGCACGAGTTAGTGATGGTGAGTTAGTATGTTAGTGAAGCCAGAGCTTCTGAGATATCATATAATTAGTATGATATCTGTACCTCTAATGAGAATATACTAGCTGCTGGGCCTGAGAGCTGATAATGCAGAATGTTTCTCATCAGTGACAAAGGTTCTGAGTTTAATGGTTTGATTATAGATGATTATATGATTAATGATTAGATTATAACTAAATCTAACGATTATAAAACAACTTTAGTTTGACATGTTTTGTGAAGAAATTACTCAGAAAAGGAAATCTGACAATGAAAGGTGTTACTACCACTCCACAATCCAATCCTTAGGAGGTTTACAACTTACACCACCCTACCTACATCATTAATAATATTAATATAATTTTTGCCAGCACACTACCGTGTGAGCGTGATCTGGAAGATCTTGTATCCAGCTATGAACGAGGCCAATCTGGTCAGGCTCTGTTTGCCAGAACCCCCAACCCCCACCAGCAGGGCATTACCTCCCGGTGTTCGGATTATCCTCGACACCTACAAATACACACAGAGCTAGAGTCAAATAAGCATGTTTAGATTTGCAGTAAGTTGTAGGCAACAAAAGAAAATAGCAAGCAAAGTAGGAATACATTAAAAAGATAAAGTAGGAATCTGTGTCTGAGTGCAAATGTCTGGGAGTGAGCAACTGTTTGTGAACGCTCCACAATTTATACTCCTTGAAGTAAAACTGTTAGGATATTCCTTGGGCTTTAAGGTGGTCTGAAAACATTAATGGAGGACTTTGAAATGTAAAAACCCTGACTGATGAAAACGTTAGGAAGTGTAGATTATTTTGGTTGGCACAAACACGACAAAAAACTCTTTAGAGTACCTTGACCAAATGTATCATAGCATCCTGAAAGAAGACCATATCCATGCCAGTACCCCTAATACTTTCATTGTAATGGCTTAGGAACATGTTCAGACGGTCCTTTAAAGTCTCAAATGATTCAATAGGCTCGTACACTTTGGGCAAATCAAAGTCTGAGTCTTCTGGTTCTTCCCCTGTGAGGAAAAAAATGAAAGCAGGTCACAAAACTGAGAAAATCTCTTAAATATATATATATTTCAATATAGTCAGACTCAGTAGTACCTGTGGCCTCAGGGGCATCTCGCAAGAAGTCAACAAAATATCTTTCTGCTACATAGTCCACCATATTCTTGTGCTCTTCACCAAGATGTTCTTCCACCAGCTTTGCCAGAGCCTGGTCAAACCACTCCACATCATCAGGCATCGTGAATCGATCCGCTATCACACGCTTGCACTCATGTTTCCAAAGTGCCATCAACGTCTGGAAAATATATGTTACGTTATTTTCTGTTAGACAGAAGGTAATTAGCTACATGGAATAAAGTAATAATAATAAGTAATAACAAAGTAATGACTGGTAATAGGTAAAAGCACTGGGGTAGCTTAGTTACTGCAAACTGTATTACTAGTGTATTATTTGACTTAGGATTTTAATGTGAAGTCAGACTGTCGCCGATATTTTTAACCTAGTTATTTTGACCTCAGCAAGCCTCCTGTGACAGCTCTTGCCACTCAGTTTCATACTGCTGCCACTTCCCCTGTTTGTCACTTACTCAGTCATGCATATTTGTCCTTGGAAAAATCCTGCATGTGTGACCAAAAAAAATGTTTCTCCAGTGGAAATCTCAACATGTTCTCAAGTTTTTCTTAACTACTTGTCATGTTAGAAATGAGGTAATTAAGCATGCAAAATACATCTCACCTGGACAGAGGTGACAACTTCAGCATTGGTGCTGAGCATGCCTTGCCAGATCCTGGAGAGATCCCTCAGGTTAAAGATGTAGTGGAACTTTGCAGGAGTCGGAAGCATCTTGACCTTAGTCAGCTGCCAGAGACGACGCGTGAGGGAAACCAAACGAGGTACAGTGCTCTGGACCTCCTCGCTAAAACCACGTCCTGTGTAAAAGTGGCCCTCACCGATCACGCCTGTGTCATAAAGTCGATGTTTAGAAAAGTTATATATTTTTTTCCAAAGTAAAGGATACAGTGTGTTTCGTGAAATCACTGTATGGTGGCATTTATTAGTACTTAGTTCATCCCTCTAACTTGCTGTGATATATATATGATTGGCAACTATATTACAAGCACACAACACCTACACAACTGTCTGGAAATGGTAAAATAAGAACAAATAAAATAATGTATGTCTCTCAGGACATACATTATACATTATGCCTTAGACCTTGTCATGTATGAACATGTAATGCGAAGTAATCCCCAAAATATAAATGACTGCAGAAAAATGACTTCTTGCAGTGTTTTACCCACCAAATATCTTGTCTATCGAAGCATTGGAGGGCAGCGTGCAGTTAAAGATTGAGAACTGCCTTTTCAGTCTCTGTGGTATGTCATTACGGCCCCCTCCAGGATGAATCATTGCTGCCAGGAACTGAACATCCACAATATTTGTGAACGCTCCAGGTTTTCCAGATTGAAGAAACCATTCTGTTCCATCAGCTGCCTGACAATCTCATTAGTCACCTGTGATTGAAAGCAAGAAGCTTAAATCAAGAAAAGTTTTGTTTTTCATTTATTTATCATTAACCAGTATTATGAATGAAAAAACACCAGTAGAAATGTTATAATGACCTGGTCTCCCCACTCATTGATGACAGGCATGTTGATGTCATCTATAAAAATTGACATTTTCTTCCCAGCAGGCGGTCCATAAGTGGTCCCCATCCTCTTATCAACATAGCTCTCAACTGACCTCTAAAAAAAAGGAAAAAAGGGAGGGATGAGGCAAGAAAAAGTACAGCGAGATAAAGAAAGAGATCTTTTAATTTCAACTGAAATGTAATTCATCACAGATCATCAATATCACACATGTTCATATTCTTTAATGGCAAATGAACACAGTCATGGTGTTGGTTTTCATTATAGACCTGCTCTGTGCATAAGGCATTGCCAGGTTGGCAATGCCTTATACAACTGCCCCCTGCCTTGCATTGAAACGATTACTTTCTTCCTGTCTTTGGCTGTGTGACTGCTGTCTACTCTTACTACTTCAGCTGTATCTCATCACTCGATCGGTCCCTGAGTGTGCGCAGTAAGGAGCCTATAATATGCCTTGTTACTCAGCTGTATTCCGCCCTCTTTCCTAGTTTGTGTCTATTTTGGTTTCACTGTACTTTGCATCCATCCTTCATATCTTTTGTTTTTGGTTTTACTACTATTTGTATAAGCCTTCAGCTAATTCCTGTGTTTGATCTCTTGGTGTTACGTTCTGTTGCATCAGCTTTCATTTTTAAAGTTTGCTCTTTATTCTTGTTTACCTGCCTGTGGTGTTCTCCCCTCTTTAACTGAACGCTCCTTTTAAGTTAAAAATTCACAGAGTGACACACTTCTGTTTCTTCTAAATTAAGAGAAACGTAGGCAGGTGACCTGCTGCTTTACCTGGAACATTAGTGGTGTAGTAGCAGAAGAGAAGTTGAGACTCTTGCCTATGTGGGTCTCAGGGTCATACTTTGACATGTAGCTCTTGATGATAACAGTCTTGGCTGTTCCTTGCTCTCCAATTAGCAAAACAGCCTATAACAAACATATTTAGATTTGCCATCAGTCCAAATTATCCCAACTAACTTCCACGTTATAGGATAACATGAGAAGGACGACAGTAGAACAAGACCGCGAACAGTTAACTGTGTCCTCCAATGCAAGAGAGGCACGTCTACGGCATATTCTATGAGGAAAGATCAAAGGGAAAGTAAGAGCATATCCTCTGCGTCTGCTGAGCATAAACACATGATGCTGGTTTTGTAGTTACATTTAAATGTTTATCCAAAGTTTACTTCAGGTTGTCTCTCTGGAGAAAGTACATGACTCATTGTCAAAGTCTAAAAACAGATGAGACCTTCATAAATGTAAATATAACACATCAGAGCTGCTTTTCCACCATCCCTGGACTCGCACCAGTTTGCATACAGGGAGAACCGGTCAACCGAGGATGCGATCGCCACAGTGCTGCACACATTACTGAAGCACTTGGAACACAGGAACACCTATGCACGGCTCCTCTTTGTAGACTACAGCTCGGCTTTTAATACCATCCGGCCATACAAACTCCGTCCCAAACTCCACCAACTGGGACTTAACTCCTCTCTGTGCAACTGGATTGTGGACTTCCTCACTAACCGTAGACAGAGTGTCAGAGTGGGTAAGAACACCTCTTCCACCCTTGTGGTCAACACCGGTGCCCCTCAGGGGTGTGTTCTGAGCCCTCTGCTATACACTCTCTTCACCCATGACTGTATTTCCTCCATCGCGTCCAATCTCATTGTTAAGTTTGCAGATGACACTACAGTGCTCGGACTTATATCCAACAATGATGAGACAAACTATAGGACAGAGGTGCAACAACTAGAGTCATGGTGCCACGACAATAACTTGGTCTTAAACACCAAAAAGACCAATCAGAATCAGAATCAGAATCAGAATACTTTATTGATCCCTGGGGGAAATTATTTTTTGTTACAGTGCTCCATTTTAAACCAACATTAAGACAAGACAGACAATACGCTAACTAAGAATAGTACAATATATACATATATATACATACATACATACATAAGTCACTTATAAATAAATATTTGGAAAAGAAACATGTGTAGTTGTAGCAGCAAACAGTGTGTTAAGTGGATGCGTTGTACAGGGAGATGGCCACAGGCAGGAATGATTTCCTGTGTCGTTCAGTGGTGCTTTTCGGTAATCTCAGTCTCTCACTGAACGAGCTCCTGTGACTGACCAACATGTCATGGAGTGGGTGGGAGGTGTTATCCAACATTGTCTTTATCTTATCTTTACCAAGGAGATCATTGTAGATTTCCGGAAGAGGGGTCATAACAACCATCTGCCTCTCTTCATTGGCAGTGAGGCGGTGGAGAGGGTGAGCAGTTTTAAATTCTTGGGGGTAACTGTGACCGAGGACCTGTCCTGGGGCAACCATATCACCTCAGTTGTACGGAAGGCCCAACAGCACCTCTACTACCTGAGGAGACTGCGGAGCGCACACATTCCCAGATCTCTGATGTTGAACTTCTACAACTGTGCCATCAGCAGCGTTCTGACGTATGGATTTCTAGTGTGGTTCCCCAGCTGCACCAAGGCCGATCAGCAAGCACTCCAGCGGGTGGTGAAAGAAGCTGGCAGAATTATTGGAACAAGTCTGCCAGAGATCAGTAATATCTTCCCCACTCGCTGTCTGAGGAGGGTGCACAGTATCCTGCGGGACCAACATCACCCTGCGCGCCACCTTTTCCATCTGCTGCCCTCAGGGAGAAGGTACAGGTCTATACAGGCCAGAACATCCAGACTGGCCAACAGCCTGTATCCACAGGCTGTGAGGCTCCTGAACTCTCTGCCCCCCTCTCACGGACAATAACCATATCCAACTTCTTAATAGCAATGAACTGGTCTGCATTGGTGCATCATATCTTTATTCTCTTCCCCCTCCTGCCCCCCCCCTCTTTCTTAAACAGATAACTATCATATCTGATATCATATCTCACAGTACAATAATATTGAATGGGTTGCACTGTTGTATTTTGTCATGTTTCTCAGGTCTTTGTCTGAATTTCTACGAACATTATTGCTAAGGATTGTCTTATTGCATTGGAGTCACACTGGGTTAAATATGTACACTTGGGTTTTAAGGGGTATTTATTATTTTCTTCTTTTTTTTGGGTTGTATGGAAGCCCCAAACGCAATTTCATTGTTCTTGACAATGACAATAAATAAATACTATAGAGGATTTAGAAAAGACACAAAACACTCAAGAACAGGAAGGTCAGATTAGACTTTGAAAACAGAAAACAGCTAAAAAGAGCCTTGCACAATTATCCAAAAACTAAAACTAAGATTGCTTGTGCCAGAATGATGGGAAAAGAAAAGTATGTGGAACATCATCACATTGTCTATCAAACATGGAGAAGGCAGTTTAACACTACGCGTTAAAGCATGCGCGTGTAGGCTGTCACTGGAAGCGGGTCACTAGTGTTTGCTGATGATGGAAATTACTCTAACTGGTAACCATACCTTGCCTTGCTTTGCAATAGTCTGGGTTAGGAAGTCTGTTCTAACGTTGTCCACATTGGGGACCAAAATTGAGCTGTACTCTGGTGTGAATTCAGATGGATAAATGTATTCCTCCACTCTGGTGTTCCAATGGACCCAATGACCTGGAAAAATATTTAATTTAATTTTAATAAGATAAAGCTTGTTGTAGAGATCAACACAAAATATGAAAAAAAAAAATTCAAAATAATATTAATCCAAGGATATTAATTTAGTTTATCACTAAAAATAATTTTATATACACATATGTACTTTCCATAAGTACAACATGAGACATAATGTCTCTGCCTACCCAGTAACTAAACAACGCCATCTGACTGAAAGTTAATGAAGCCATGCTTACCATCTGCTGTGACATAGTAGTCAAACATGGTGTCCTCACTGTCAGGAGGAATGTCTGGCAAGTTTAGATGAATACTCTTGTTTCCTCTAAGCCAGATTTCCATCTTCCTCCGATCATCCAGTTCAAGTACGGCTCCAGCGCTCCACATTAGTGCAAAGACATAAAGCCGCTCCAAGAACTCTCTGGATAAATCGCCACACTGCTCCTGTAAATTGATATCCATTTTAAGATGAGGAAATTCAGGGATCATTAAAAGAACCCAAAAAGGAGATGAGCACTTCATAAGTTAGGCCAAGTCTATGAAACTGAACATACAAAATATATGGACAAAACTATGAGTCCCAGTCTGTATAATGGGTATAAATGTGCTTAAAAAGGTTTTGAAAACATAAATACAAGTTGGTCTCACTATAAATTTCCACTTCTACTTCAAGAGTCACTTATCAATGAAATATTCATTAGCTGCTGTTCGTGTGCATGTCCAGTGGATGGGAATACCTCACCTTAGGTGGTATGAGTCCCTGTAGCATGTTTATGCATTGCATGATTACAAAGGCCTCTAGCATGTCCATTTTGAACTCTAGTGACTGCACGCAGAAGCGGTAGAGCTCGGAGAAAGACGAAGAGAAGAGCTTTCTCAGTATCTCTGCCTCATGTGGGGACCGTTTCTTCAACCAGCCCTAGAAGCAGCAACAGCATGACTCTATTTAGTCAAAACTACATGCAGTGCACAGGTTTTAAATTATATGATTCACAAGTAAATATTGCCTTAATATACCTTGATTTCAAACTTTTACGAAATGAAACAAAAATAATTACAACCGGTTTTTCACCTCTAGTATGGGGATCCAGGTGAGCACAGAGGAGCTCATGAACACCATGCCATTGCGTGAGACGGTGGCTGGAGAGGCATTGTCGATGTTATGCGGCTCAAATACCACCTTGCAGTTGGGAGCCATTGGTATTCGGTCTCCATTTGCGAGTGTAAGAGTTCTGTTGTCATCCAAAACTGAATTTAGGTTTTCAATCCAGATGGCGTCAACTGGCCCATCCAGCACTATCCAGATGTGCTCTCCTGTGAGGGAAACAAAGTGTTTGTTTACATGATTACGAAAATGAGGTGGTATGAAGACCTTGTGCTGTCACCCTCAAGCAAAAATGAGCTACATTTCTGAATATGAATTTAGTGCAGACAAAAGAGTTCAAAATGTTTTCTTGGCTAACCAGCAATCATGAGCTATCAGTTTGCAAGAAAAACAACAACTGAGTCATTTATTTTGTGGAATTTTAAATATGAACAAAGAAATCCGTTTCTCCTCGCTCTCCTCCCAGTTGGAAAACATCCAAAAACAGAAACACAAAAGACAAATTGCGTCTGAAACAAGCAAAAGGCTGACGTTGTCTGACGTTCAGGCAATATCGCACGATAAAGCTGCTGTTTGAATGTGGTTTACACTCTAAATGCTGAGAAATCAGTTCCTTTGAATATGACTACTACATGAGCACGTGTTTTACACAGAAGTTACCAGATGATACACACAAGGCTGTTTCTGCATCAGTTAAAACACAATGAGCGTGGCCAGCACACAGCTGTTTTCACAAAGTACTTCTTTTCTTTGAGGAATATCTACTTGACCCAGGAGCTGCTGCCCTGTCACATTGCCACATCTACTTTTCTACACTGGAATTCACTCTGTCCAAAGTAGCAAGCTCTGCAAATGAACAGGAAGTAGCAGCAGGAAAATAATGCAAATACGCAGAGAACACCCCACTCATAGATATGCAAAACACCATCAGAACAAGTAATTAATAGATGAGATGTGTACTTAGACGCATAAAAGCAAACATGGAATGCATACGCAATTGCCCGCAGACATTTTTAATTATCCGTGTAAGCTTAGAACTAAATAGGAAGATTAAACAGAGCTTTGTTTCCTTTGAACCTTCCAACGTTGTCCCAACGTATTAATACTTAATTGCAATAACCTACTTGAACTGGTTTGTCAAAGTTCTCATGGAAAACAATGTTTACCAATGATTTTTTGCTTTATTAATACCCAAGTGTGACATATGTGCACAATAAGAAACTTTTTGGACCTTTCTTTGCTCTCAGTGTTTTCCTCCACAGTGTAGAGAAGATGCCATCAGTCCAGTCATTTGTGGCCACATCTAGTCTGCCAAACATCTGAGGTGCAGTAATGGCTTTGGGGTTCATGCGCATCTCTCTGTGAGAATGACCACATTCTGGAAGAAAATTAGATATTAGCAGAAACATGTTCTGTTTTCCTAAAGTTAATATAATGGATAATATAATACTTTAATGGAGCAATAATTATATTAAACACACGACAAGGTCACAAAAGTAACAATATTACCCTAAAAATATGTAGATTTAATAAGATACCCCATAAATTAAATAGATATCTCGTCCCAGTATGAGTATATTTCGTCGGTTATTCTGTTCACATATTCGTGTCTACAGTACAATAGATTCAAAACAAGCTTACCACAAGTTGGTGTCTTTTTCTTTAAGCTCACATGCGACAAAATACACTAAATCCTACCTGTCATAGCTTTCATAAGCGTGTGTATACAAGTTGTCTTTCCAGCCCCACTGGGCCCCAGGGCCATCATGCCATGTCGGACTCTTTGAGTCTCGTACAGCTGGATGACCTTTAGCTTCCAAGGAGGATGGTTGATTAGGCCTGCATCCTCCACCTGAAGAAACAAAGTAGTTACAATTCCAGCTATTTTTGTAACAATAATGCTTTTACTGTATTTACAAGTATAATAACTTAGTATACAGTCGTGGTAAAAAGAAAGCACACCTTCAGTCAATTTTAAGGTTTCACACATCAAAACATCTTTTTTTTTTTTAATTAAAAAAATGAAGCCAAAATGCAGAAGCAATATATGAAAAACTAAACTAATACTATCAAATGCACTTGCTTAACTGATCAGCAACAAAACAGCATAAAATCTAAAAGTTCCAACTTTTAATTGCATCTCTCCCTTCCTGCACTGTTTTTCACAAGTCCTCGGGTTAGGTCCTTTACAAATAATAAATGCCACTATTTGTATCCTTCTCGATGTCCTGTCCTGAGGTCTGACATGACAAATACGGCGGCCTCACTCTCCATTAGGCTTTTGGACCGTCTTACTCAGCCTTCGCATTTCTCTTTCTGCCTCTTTCCATTGTTTCCCCTTCCTGTTCCCCCCATCTTGCAAACTTGGTGTTACTGTGGATTTTCACTCTCCTCGTCAATAACAGATAAATCCATTCTCCAAACTCTCCTACCTGTTTGTCAATGGCAGCTTCTAGTTCAGGGTAGCCCGCTTTGTCAAGTTGGATGCCCGGGAAGAGGTCTTCAATCAAGCTCAGAAAAAGTGGCTCATCCTCATCGATCTAAACGCATGTGCACACAAATTTGCAAAACCCAGTGAAAACATGAAATATCAGCATGGTTATCTTTTTGATGCCCTATTGTGTACATTGTAGACTTACCAGTTTTGAAAGGTTCATGTCCCTTAGAACCCTCATGACAATGGTAGACTCTGTATCACTGGGGTTGGCTCGCTTGGCTGCTCCCAGAGTTCGCAGAACTGACAGAATGTTGCGCAGGCCAAAATCATAGTGAACCTGAACATTCATAAATATCATTTTAGTTTCATTTACATTAATGGAAACCCGTGCAACCTTGTTGTTAAGTCATGTGACAATGATACCTCCTCCAAACTAACTCCTTTTCTGACCCCATTCCTACAAGCATCACACTCTATTTTCAGCAGCCTGTGTGTCAGTAAGACTTTTTATGCATTTTTAGCTGCAGCTTGTTTATGCTCCCACACTCAGTGCAAGTTCTACCACTTTCCACTTGTTACTGCAAGGTTAAAAGGAAGATCTTCGATTTTTATACCTGCTTGGACAGTTGCTCCTCGCACAGCTTGTAAAGCGTGAAGAATTTGCGTGCAAGCTCCATGTTGTTGATAAACCCACAACTGGCCAGTTTTACCCTAATAATGATTTGACGGTCTGGAACCATCATGGCCACGGAGCGGAAGTTGATCTTCAGGTTTTCAGGAAGCTCCTGACGACCTGCATAACCTGGATTCTGATTACATGGAGAATAACAAAAAAAAGATATTAATGGAGTAAAACAGAAATAAAACATTTAATGATAATTAGGAGTAAATGCTACATTGCCCATTCTACTGCATTAGAAATTTAGATCAGTGGTCCCCGGGCCTCGGACCGGTACCGGTCCATGAGTCGTTTGGTACCGGGCCGCGAGAGTTGAGGCTCAGGTGTGAAATGTATGGTTTTCAGGGTTTTTATCGGTTTTCTGCGTTATTTTGTCATCGTTTTTATCGTTAACTCAGTTTTCCTGGGTCTTTTCACGTGTGTTATGAATAACTCTTCTATTTTTCAGTAGCGGTACTAGTTTTATTTTGTTGTATTTTTCCGCGACACCTTAAAGGCCGGTCCGTGAAAATATTGTTGGGCATAAACCGGTCCGTGGCGCAAAAAAGGTTGGAGACCGCTGATTTAGATGACAGACTAGAATGCAACAACAATGAAACTAAATGGATGAAGTTTATACTGGAATGTAATTCATCTTCATCACAAACGCTATCCTTCAACTTCAGCAGACACAGCCTACAGACATAGCCTGTTTCACAAAGCTTGTCTATACTAATGTACACACACACACACACACACACACACACACACACACACACACACACACACACACACACACACACACACACACAGAATAAAAAAGAGGAAAATGATCTCTGACCCCTCTCGCCACAGGGAGGAATTATTCCACTGTTATGTTTAATGACTTGCCTCAGGACAGCAAATGAGGCAAGGAGATAAAGCGATTTAACTATTACTCTAAGAAATAAATCACATGAAATAGCAGGCAGAGCCCAAAGTTTAATTCAAAAACTGACTTATAAAATATTACATGTTAGAGTTCAATTTAGTGTTATTTGTGATTCATTTCAGTTTTCAAGATTAAAAATTTTGCTTTAAAAAAAAGGAATCATTATGCGATAAATCTAACAGCCAAGAGTAAATATTGATGTCCATGCATGCACAGTATGTCCAGGCACCATCTGAAACAGATACAGTTCATACACTTCAATATTCATTCTGTTAACTAAGGTGTCATTTACTGATGTTAAGAACTGCCTCCTTTAGATATTTCCTCTGACCAGTCAAATAGATATTAGCAGTCTTGTTCTACTTCCATCACTAACCATGGTAAGGAAGATGCCAAACTCTGGGTTCATGTCCACATTGTCTCCATCTGTGAAGACAAAATTTTTGCGACGTTCCTTCTTGCAGGTGAGAACTATCGCGATCTGCTGGGCTGCCACAGAAAGAACTGGGAGGTCGATGCGGTTGAACTCGTCAAAACAGCCCCACGAACCAGACTGAGCCAGACCTGGTAAATCACATAAACACAGAGCTATGGTCCGTCCGCTGCAAACAAATAAGATATCTGACATTACATATTGTGTGATTGTTGTTTTTTTTTATCTGTATTGTTATGATTTATTAGCAAAAAAAACCCCCCACAGGTCTATAACCTGATAACTCAAACCCTTAAACTTCTTTCTGGGTATATATTTATTGTCACGGTCCTGGGTCGGTGACCCAGTGTTTTGAGTTTTGTTGTGTTTTTGATCTTTGAGTTCATCATGGTTATCACTGTTAGTGTTTTGGTTTCTGTCTCAGTATTTCTAGCTCTCTAGTTTGTTGCTCTGTGATTTCTAGTTCTTGTTCCCGTGTCCCTATGTTCAGTGTCAAGTCTGTGTCTCTGTGCCTGTTGTGCTTCCAGTGTGTCTGGTTTTGCTTCACCTTGTCTCGTTAGCTCTGATTTCTCCCCGAGCTGTGTTTCCCTCCTGTCTCCCGTTCCTTGATCGCTCCAGTCCTGTGTTTTCCTTGCTCTGTGTCATGTCGTACCCTCACCATGCTGTCTGTTTTTTCCCCTCCGAATTCCTGAGGAAATTCTAGTTCCCAGTCCTGGTTTGTTTTCCTAGTTTGTGCTTCTTAGTTTTTAGACTCAAGTGTCCAGTTTAGTTTCGAGTTTTCTAGTTTGGGGTTTTGGTTTGTTTTTTGTGAAGTTTAATCTTTATGTAAAGCCTCCCAGCAATAAACGCTGCCTCTTTAAGTTGATTCTGTCTCATGAGTTCTGCAATTGGTACGTACTTCCTGCTTGCCACACAGTCTATCATGACACTTATAGCATGACTTTACTTAGTGATTCTCACCTTTAAATATTCTCCCCAAGCCTCTGAAGTCCATCTGGTCAGAGCAGTTGAAGACCACAACGTACTTTCCCAAACAGCGACCCATGTCTTTTATGGTCTCGGTCTTTCCTGATAACAAAAGGCAACATTTTCACAGCCTAAACTGAAATGCAACCATTTGTATGCTGATAGAAAACCTGACAACAAATGATCTCATAATAGAAACTATCAAAGCTAACTCTGTAATGAAGCCGTTCCCGACTGAGATAGCTGTGTTGTTTGATTCTTCATTTAAATGACCTGAGTTGTATAGAGTCTAGAAGGGTAAATTATCTATATTTAAAATGGTTAAATTCAATTACTTTAACACTTGGCAAACCTTGGAACAGCTTTTTAACATGTCTGTCCCATTCCGAAATCACAAGTTTTGCATACCAGTTCTAGGTTTTCATTCCTATAAAATGTTGCATTTTCTTTTTGATTCAATGTAATTTCCAAAAAATAGATAGATACTGTGTGACTAATTTTCATACCTGTTCCAGCTGGACCAGCAGGTGCTCCACCCATACTCATACCAAGAGCTTGGGCTAAAGTGATGTAACACCTGTCCAATTGTAGACACACAAACATAATAACAATCTAATTTCATAAATCATGAATCATTTCATAAATTCATAAGCTAATAATATCCATACTCAAAATGACCACAAATGAACGTGATCTCATTCTCCACAAGGTTCAAGGATTAAGCTTTAGAACCCTGCCCCTGAAGCTGATGGGATTCAGCGATTTGCTCAAGGACACATCAGCAATCAGGATGACTGACAACAGGACCTAGCCCTCTGGTCACTGGTCTCCATCTTCATTACAATGACTGACCTCGGGGTAAAAATCATGGTAAAGCTGGATACTGACATATTTTCTCTCCTTCAGCAGATACAGATTAATTCTGACCACTCCGTAACCAGATTTACTTTTTTCATCCCAACATCTTTTTGCCACAATTTAGGACCACTTGCACCTTTCCCTTTTTAACGTGATGTGGTGGCAGCGAGGAGGTAGGACAATGATAGCAAGCAAAACAAAGAAGAAAGACAGCATGAGAAAATGATGGAAAAGCAGAGCTGTCTTGGCGCCTCTAGCCATAAGGCCAGCATGCCACTTTTTTGGAGAGCTGCTGTCTGATGTTAGATGGTAACTCCCTCCCTAGTGCTGTCCTCTCACATCTCCTCCTTGTCTCTCCTCATCTTTTTTCCCTCCTTGTCTCTTCTCATATTTTACCCTCTGTGTCTGTTACTAAGACACTTCTTGTTGTTGGACTGCTGTCTCCCTCACTCTGTCTGATCCTCTTTCCTTTTCTTTCTGTCATTCATATCGCCTGTTAGTTACAGATGTGATGATCGCTGTGTAAGACTGCTTCATCCTGCTTCATCCTGCTTTCTAATTTCTCATCCTCACAGTCCCCGAGTTGTCTTTTTTTCTTTGCTTTACAAATCCAGTCATTAGTCAACCACAGAAAGTTTAATCCATTTCATGAAACTTGACATTACAACGAACAATCACGGTCAAGTTTTCAGCATAAATCTAGAGTGGGTTCCTAAAATAACTGATGCATGATGCAGCATGCATTTCTGACTTAGTTACAAAGGCAGAGTCACGTTTTCTGTACAGTCACTCCAAGGTTACACTGTCTTTGTTTAAACTGCAAAAAAGAAAAGTTATACTGCTGTTTTTTTCCTTTATTTTCTTATTAGTGTGTGTGCATATGACTTTTGCCATTATGATACATTTTACTGACGTATGTCTGCTTTACCTGTCCGTCAAAGGTGTAATGACAAGCCTTTCGGTACACCCCAAGAATTCATTCTGGTAGACAAAGCCCACATCTGTAATGTTGATGATCATCTTGTCTGAGTCCTCATTGAAGTAGAAACGGCACTGCTTCAGCCATTCAAAGTCACTGGAGCTTTTGACATGCAACCGGCACTAGGTGGAGAAAGGGTAGCGATAAGAGACAGGAAAGAGGGAAAGAGAGGGCAGAAGGAGACAAGGGATGGAAACAGAAGTGAAGGGAGAAGGGAGATGGCATGTGAAGAATAAGAAATTGAAGGGCACCACTCAGAAGATTATTTGAAAAGAGAGATGAAAGCCAGATAAAAGAGGGAAGAAAGGTGGAAGGGCGGGATGTGTGAGGAGGGATTTCGGTGACAGGAGGGTAACATTAAAAGGGTGGAAGAGAAGAGAAGCAAGAAAGTGGAGGATGAACGAAGAGGTCATGAAGTGAAATGGGAAGAAAGGAAGGTAAAGGATAGGGGAGAGTGAAAAGGAGGGAAGAGAAAAGTCCAGCAAGTTAAAATGATGCAAATGGGAAAAGTACAAATGAATTAGAATAGTAATGAATAGAAGAGATAAAAGCAGAATATGTGTGAGAAAAAATACAGTGGGGTAGAAAAGTAGCAGTGTGATATATTATTGGAGAGGAAATAAGGTGAGGCAAAAATGTGTTTAGAAACAACAGGACAAAGGAACATGAGCAGGACAAATTAATGGTATGAGCTAAATAAATACAAATGATTTTAGAAAGAACTGAAAAAACACATCCAAATAAAGTTTCTTCAAACTGCTTCTATTAACCTTGGGGTTCAGCAACATGCTTATTCTGCCTTAAGTGGAGATTCAAACACAGTCGTGACTTTAAATATTACTTGACTGCCATTAAAACCCCTCTGACTACTTTCGACAGAATTTACTCGCTGCAGTAAACAACATTTTGTATTCTGACATGGCAGCCCTTGGGAGTCTGAATATCAAACACAGTTTACAGAGTGGTTGCTATTTTGAGCCGGAGATTCTAATCTTGAACAGAAATTGCAAAGCGTTCATGTGCACAGTTCAGCGTCAGTCTAACTGATCCCAGCTCGGATGTCTCTGGCCTCTTTTCACGAATGATCAACATACTCACCAGTTCATCAAATATGTCCCTCTGGTGGACATGAATAGTGATGAGGGTCTCATACTTGGTCCTCTCCACAGCCTCCAAGTCTCTTGTGGTCATGTCAATCAGGGTGTTAAGGAGATCCAGGAAGAACTGGTTGGTTTTGGACATGATGCGACGATCGTATCGGGCATTGGTCAGAGCTTCTTCTGAGTCCCTTGTCCAAATCATCTGAATACCCAGTAACCCCACCTACATTAATGTGCAAAAAACAAAACACATCAAAATGGTCAAATGTACCGATGACCTTAGAAATCTAACTATTGTTTTGATGAAGGAATACTATAGCAGTTTAGTACCACACCCCAAGATTTACAGAGAAAATAACAGCCCCAATTCCCAAAGTTGGGATGCTGAGTACAATATAAATAAAACAGAACGCAATGATTTGCAAATCTCAATAACCCATATTTTAGTCACAACAGAACATAGAAACAATAACAAATACTTATAGAAAACACACCCTTTTAAGAAAAAAAATACTTGTTCACTTTTAACAACAGTCAGTAAACATCTGGGAACTGGGGAGACCAGCAACTGTACGTGGGTAAGGAATATTGCCCAGTTCTATTCTGACACAGGATGTTTCCAGGTGGTGAACAGTCTGGACTGATGAAAGGCAGTTAAAAACCCAGAGTATCCTTCTACAAAGTATGCGATTTAGCTGAAATATGCAGGTTGTTCCCTGAAAAAGACAGGGACATGACTGGATTGGAGCATATTTTGCTCTAAAACATTTAGATACTTTTCAGCAATGGTGGTATCTATCCAGATGTGGAAGCTGCCAGTTTCATAGGCACTAATGCACCCCCATACCATGAGAGAGAGCAGAAAAAGACAGATTGCGTGAGGATGTGGTCTCCATGTTGTATAAAAAGTTTTCCACATTGGCTCAGTCAGTGTTAAATGACCTCTGGTCCAGAGAATATAACGGTGATTCTGGATCATGTTCACACATGGCTTTTTCTTTGCAGCATAGAGCTTTAGCCTGTACAGCAAACTGTGCTCCCACACATTGATTTTCTGGAGGTGTTCCTGAGCCCATGCAGTGATTTCCATGACAGAATCAGGTCTGTTTGTAATGCAGTGCTGCCTGAGGGTCTGAAGCTCGCAGGCATCCAATATTGATTTTCAGCCTTGCACACAGAGATTTCTCCAGATACTTGAAATCTTTTGATATCACGTAACGTAGATGACGGGAAATTCATATTTGCAATTTTACACTAAAGAACATCATTCTGTAATTGTTCTACAATTTTAGTTTTTTGCAGATTAGTGAAACTCAGCCCAATTCTTTCATCTAACATGCTCTATTTATATCCACTCATATTACTGAGCTGTTGCCAGATATCCTAATTAGTTGCAAAATGTTCCAGCTGTTTTTTTTACTACCACTAATTTATCCAGACTCTTGTTGGCTGTCGTTGTAGTCATTAAATTCAAAATGAGCCAATATTTTATCTCAAAATAGTTTTCTCAGTTTTAAACATTTGCTAGATTTATTATATGGGTTTATAAGACTTGCGAATCATTGCATCCTATTTTAACTTACATTTTGGAGCATCCCAACTTTCTTTAGAATTTATTTTGGAGTTTATTACAATGTTCATAGTAGATTGCCTCTTTAGGCTACACAGGTTTCTGTTTTTGAGCAGCGCCGTCCTTGCTCCACAAGGATAGCCAGTTGTGGTCGAATCAATGTTTTAAAACGTTTGCGGATTAGTTCCTGGATTTGGACAATGACTTACTTGAGATGGGAAGGAGTTGAGGAAGTCAATTAGCTGGAAGCCAGAGTCCTGGATAGCCAGAGCAGCTTGTCTGATCACAAGGTGCAAAGACCTCTGGGATTCTTTCAGCAGAGCATTGAGCCACACCTCCACGTTCCCTTCAGCTGTGACGGGACGATCCAGCTCCACAGTCTCTCCCTCGCGTGATGACACGGCCAGAATGCGGTCATATATCTGTGAAAGGCAACACTGATTAGATCGATTATTATAACTACAATGATGAAGTTATTTTTCTTATAAAAAGTATATTTTTCAAATTCTACATTACTCTGATTAGTTCATTCAATTTGACATTAAAGCAGCTATTATATTTTATTACTTTCATGTTACAATCACATATTTTTCAGAAGGTTAAGTGTTTAAGATAAACAACAAAAAAAGAACATAATCCACCTTTTCATGAAACTGGACACACTTGATATTGTCAAAGACATTGAGAAGGTGGGCCTGGATGGTGTGGGAGTCAGAGGCCTGGCCCAGGATCTCCAGCAGGGCAGGATCAGAGACAAAGAAGAAACGAGGAAACAGCAGACGCTTCTTCTCCAGATAACTGTTTGACCACATAATTTTAAAAAAATCAATACAAAGTATCATCTGACAGACAATACAATAAACCAGATAGTTAACTGTACAGCATAAAAAAGGAAATCAGTCACTTCACTTACCCTCACTACTGATTATCGTTTAAAATCTTCTACCTTTTTTTGGTGGTTAAGTTCATTAGAACCTAAAAATAAGGGCCATGGTGGTGTTTTAAGTTTTTTCTACTCACCCTGTTAGAGACTTCTGACAGATCTCCAGCTGTTCGAGGAGATGTGGAAGCAGCTGTCCCATGGTCTCATCCCCCACGCATGACTGTACCACATTGGGCATTTCATGGGCTCGCATCATGATCTTCACCCATGACTTATCAATGTTAGAGAAACGCTTTGCTTCCTAAAAAGATTGAGTTAGTCAATTATCTCATGATCACTGTTTGACTGTTTTATTATTTTATTTTGTATTTAGTTGTTTCTTTTAAATGCTTGGACGCTGTTTGGCGCTGATTTTAGAATTAAGCTCGTAAAACAATCTTACAAAGGCAACATTTCACTATTATTTCTTCTTCTTTTAAATGTCAAAACACTGTGGCCTGAAAACATTGCCTGGACCAGTGATTTATTTTGCTCAAGAGACTGAAATATAATTTTTGAAAATGAAAATAAAAGAAACTCAACGCCTGGCACATTAATGCACTACTGCACCTAAACACCCAGAATATTGTCCAGAAATCTGATAATGATGTAAAGATAGAATTTTTTTATGTAAATTGTGTAACTGCAAATGAGTAATTTCAGTTCAGTTCACTTGTTTGCCTTTTAAACTGAAATTGCCTTTTAAACTGCATTTGGAGTCCATGTTTAAGCCTGATAACCAATATGAATCACATCCTGAAATGTTGTTCACCTTAGGCAACTGTTTGGCGATATCTCCACCCACAAACACAGCCTCCAGATAGATCCACAGGTTCTGGACAGTCATCCAGTGCTCGATAATATCAGTGGTGTTGGAGAGATTCTGAACCCACTTCTGAATCTGGGCTTTAAATGGGGTGTTGTACCTGAAAAAGAAGGTAAATCTTCACGTTCGCCTTACTTAGGGACGCACACCTGTGTGTGGCTCGTCTAATGTCTAGATTTCCCACAGCTGTGGAAGAAGATCATCACTACCGACACTAATGATAATGACACTCAACACTGCCGTACCGGTTGCTCATAAGGGATCCCAAGATCATTAGGCTATCCTCCATGCTGGCAATGATCTCTGATGTGCTGTCTCCTCTCAGCAGCAACTCCCCACGGGTCTTAAAACTGGCAAATGTAAAAGTCTTGTTGTCCCACTCAGCGATCACTTGCTTCAGCTTTTGTTCAATATCACGCTCTTTCACAGCACTGATGCAGATATCCTGCACAAGAATCCCGCCCCCCAAATGTTTTTAAATGTTAGCAATAAAAATGCTGATGGCAAACAGATGCATATGCACTGAAAAAACAGGATTGGTGTTTGCACTGAACAGGACCACCTATCAGTTAATTCAATATATTACTCTTTAAACTTTTTAAATGTTTTCATTTCCTCCAAACAATTTTCCAAACTTGTATTTTATTTGGAATTTATTATATCAAATAAAAAAGAAAACACCTTGAATTAGCAGCTAATGATTCGTTTGTACCTCAATCTCTTCTTTATACTTGAGTAGAGGAGCCTCCATTATGTTACGCAGCTTGAATGTATCAGTTTCCACCTCAAAGGTATGGCCAGTCACCTGGATACAAAACAGGACAAATTACAGCTATTATCATTATCATTAGGTTCTGGTGATGACTTGATTTCAGTCAATAACATTCAGTTGCAGTGCTACACCAGTGGCCATGTTTCACTAACCTCCGTTATCCTCTTCCAGTGCCGGGCCATCATTGCTTTGTTAGTCATGAGTTCCAGCAGGGGGCAGCACTCACTGAATTCATCAATCGTTTTCTTCAGATCCTGAAAGGCCTGCCACTCTTTCAGAGCACGAGGCAGTTTTCGACACCTGGTAGTTCACAGGACGTGACAGTCAAACTCATATTTATTGTCTTCTTTCTAAACTACACTTTAGCTTTGCTGAAGTCAAGTAAAGTTGACATGAACTAGATTAGATGTATAGTTGACATTTTGTTTGTTAAAGGAAAAGTATTACAACACACTTCAAGTTTGGTATTAACGCTACAAGAGTCATTGGATTGGACAACTTGTTGAGTATCCTTCCTTACTAGCACAGAGCAAAAGTTCATGCATCAGTGTCTGTTCATAGCGTCACTCAACCAAATCAACACCTCCACAACAGATAGCTGACATTTCTGCCAGAGGAAACAAATATCCTCTCTTCTTCAGCTCTGACTATAGCTCTATATTTTCCTTCTGACTGCTTCTAATGTTTATCTAGATTTTCATTGTCAAGTAATCCCTTCCAGCTATATTAAAACTTGTTCTTAATTTCTTTAGGTAAAATAAACTAGCCTGTAGCCTATTAGCCTCTTTCCCCTTCAGTGTCCATTTGACACATGCTGGACAAATGTGACCACATAAAGGGCAAAGATTAGCTTTGCATTGTGAGACTGAAATATTAATGCAGTGTTGATGAAGAACAGGAAGCTTTGTTTCTGCCACTGGAAAAAAAAAAACTTTTTTTGTTGTTATGTAAAACTTTTGGGTTAGTATTTCGAAATTATAACATCTCGAAACAAGTTTCCATATTGTAGCAAGTGAGAGGAAGCAGTTTCTTTAATGCCTGAAAATAAGAGTGATGTTTATGGATGGACTAATGAAAATCATTTAATTTAATTCTGCTTTTTTTTTTCTCTTTGTGATGTCACCAATTCCTGCAGTAATGAGAGGGCTTGATTACACAGTATGAGAAGGTTATTTTCTCACATAGTCAGTTTTGTTTGTTTCCAGTTCAGCTTCTTTCCTGAAAACGTCTCCTTCTTCATTAACATATTTTAAGCTCATGTTACTACATCTACAGTTAAAAGAGTTCAACAGTTGCTTGAATAAAAAACAAACAAATAAATTGCCAAACCTCGTCTGAAAGTCGAGCAGCTCATTATTAATCTTCTCGATGCAGATGTCAGCCCAGAGGATATCATAGTAGCCATTAACTGTATCGATGACATTGTTGTAAAGGCCGTACAACTTCTGCAGCAGAGCCAGTTGCTTCCTAATCTCCAATAGCTGAGGATGCTGGGTAACAGGAAGTCCAAAGAGCTCTTCGCCTCCCGTGTAAGTGATGTACTTCCTGAACAGGTTGTCAAATCGATTCTGAAGAGGAGAAGAGCTACGATTAGGTACAGCTTACGCTCTGATGGACTTTAAAACATTACACATTTGAGGTAAAACATTTGCAATTATCTGAGTATAATTTATACAGAATAAAAAATCTGTCTTTTGCTAACCATGAAATAGAAACTGTAACAGTATAATAATAGTAATAATAATAATAAAAATATAATAGCTCTTTTAACATCAGTTTCAAGTAACTACTTTTCTGAGGCATCAGGTCAATGCAGGATCTAAATATTTACTAACTGACAGAGAGACAAAATAATTAATCACTAACCAACCTGGAACATGATCAGCCGGTCACTGGCATCTTGGGGTGCAAGTCCCACAACCATGGGACCATCCTTAAACAGAGAGGGAAAAGTGTCATTTTAGTAGCTATTATTAAAACTAACCTTAACTGTAATTAACTGAGCATTTATTTGTTGAATTAAAATAAAAAGTTTAATTGAAACAGAGCAAACAGCCATAGATACTTTACCTTTTCATAATCTTGATAAAAGTGTTGGCAGTCTTCCAGAAAGGTCTCCACATTGCTGACCAGTTCTTCTCTGAAGTTTGGCTGCAAGGCGACCAGCTCGTTCTGCACCTCTGTGCTCCGGGACAAGAGCTTTTCCCAAGTGTAGCGCAGAGTATCCACTTTTTCAGCCTCCTCTTTAGCCACTGACAGTTCATACTTATGGAGCATGGCATAGGACTCCTGTGAGGAAAAATAAGATACTAAGTCTTCCACCTGACAAAAACTAGAATGTGCAAATGTGTAATTATTTCTTTCTGAGCTTCTTGTACAGACTCATAAAGTCAAACAGCTAAAAATGTCTCTTTCCCACTGTGTGTATTTGTGTGTATAAAAAGAGCTTCGATAAATATGTGATGCTGTGGTTTACCTCTATGGGCCCAACTTGAAAATCAATAGATATCTGGTGCTCTCTGATCTCCTTCAGTGCGGCCATGGCAATACGAATATCATCCAGGTCTTTGATCTGTCGATTCAGTTTCTTTCCTGCTTCATCTACAAAAGCAAAAATGTGCTCCATCTCTGAGCGACATTTCCTGTTACAGTAAAGTCCGTAGTCCACCATCCAATTCTTGATTTCAGCAGAGAGGGACATCTTTAAGGGTGCTGGCAGGAAGTAATATGAGCATGCAGAGAGCATCATTTAACTTGCTGAAAATCTCAAAAATCTCATTCATGCCGGTTTTAAATTTGTAACTTAATAAGACCTGTGAATAGCGCCAAGGCTCCTACAGCAATATACTCTGGTTCAGAGTTTACTTCCAGCTCTAGATCTCGATAGAAAAGAATCTGGCTCTCAAACTCCGATAACAAGGGACTCCCCTCGATAAATCTGTTCAAAACACAAACAAAAATAGCACTAGTGCGATGTCAGATAAGCAGATTTATATAGAAACCATACATTTCAACGTACTTCCTCATGGTCTCTTCACGGTCTTTCCTCCAGATGTGATGGTAACGGCTAAAGTGATGTAGAGCGGTCACCACTTCCTGCACATTAATATCAACAGGAGAATATGAAATGAAGTGCACTTATAGAAAAATAAAAGACATTTATATTCATTAAATATACAGAAATATAGATGAAAATATCTGTTGTAAATGTGGGATAAAGAAATATAAAAAGTGTATGGCATGATTTAATAAAAGACAGCTAAGTTTGGATTAGTTTCATATAAAAAATAGCTTAATTAAGTGCCATGTACCTTTTTACTGGAGGTGATAGAGGTGCTAAGTACAGAGATTAGCTTGGCTATTTCCTTGTTCTCAGACACACTCTTGTAGTAATTTCTGGCTTGGAACGGGATGGCCTGGATCATAGAAGCTGACATGTCTGAGGTACTGCCATCTGAAAATGACAGAATTTCACAGAAAACACATTGAGCAGAAATGATGGACATTATTCTTCCAAATATTAACTTCTGGGCTTTTAAAATAATTATATGTTACAGGTCTTTTTACAAGAGAACATGTTAATAATGGAATTACTTCCATTTAGTTTTTCTCTCTCTGTATATATAATTTCTAAAAGTAAAATGTGCTTTTCATAGTGGAAATTGATTATCCCTGCCGCTTTCTAATTAAATATGTATTTAATTTGCATTAAATATGAAATTCTTGAATATTTTCCTCCCCAAGCAATATTATGTGTTTCTGCCCCTGGTCAGATATTTGCTTGCTCTGCTGAGCTGTAAAATCGAGTTGTAATTGTATGCTGAAAACAGCAAATCTTAAAATTTTAAAAATGAGTGAGCTGACACAGTTGGGAGCTGTTGAAGGTCTGAGGTTAAGCTATGAAAGTGATAATGTTCTCTATTACCAGCCAAGCTTCTGTATGTTGTTGCTCCGTCCTCTGTTTCGCTCTCAGAGCTGTCTTGTTTCAGTGCTGCCATTCGCCTTTCATTCATTTGTCTCTGGAAAGGGGAATGTAAAACCTCCGGGTTTATTTAGTACACTGCTGGACCACGACAATATTAGTTTAAAAAGAGCAGTTCTAACAGTTTATTACAGTTATCAAGCTAAATGTCACAAATTGATTTTTCCTTTATTCACCTTAGATATCCTTTCTTTGCTCCACTGGCTGACTCCTTTGCTGACACTGACTACACACTCTACAGCGCGGTTTAGAGCCTGTTGAACCTCCTCCAAAGCTGGAACCATGACAATGTTAGGGATGGAAAGGGTCATGTTTACTCTGAAGATTGCATGGTGATCGCTGCTTTTGCCATGGCTGGTTGGGTCACTTGCAGCTTCAGAGGGAGAGAAGGGTAACACACATAAAGTATTGGAATAGACATTTTATGAGCTTATTTTAAATATTTTAGGCCTTTACAGAAATATAGCAAACAATTAAACAAGACGCACCAGAGAAGTGTATGAGCGAGGACGTATGTATGCGCTTGCGCAACATCTCAAGGGTGTTGCGTGTCACTTTGAGCAAGGCATCCACATTACGGTGGTTGAAGTAGGACAGCAGCTCCTGGGCTTCCTGCTCCATCACTTCCATCAAGTCCCTCTTCTTCTTCCTCCTCACCAACGGAGAAGAAGGACCAACACTAGCAGAACGTAGCAGCGTGTTTCTGGAGAAGAGACGCTCGTCATCACCTAAGAAGGTGACACGTTTACAGTCAATACGAACACCTTCAGCAACACTTCACCTTGAATAAATCAGCATTATAATAAAAGTAAAAACAACAAGGTCCTAAAAAAGGTAATCCCCTTTCCTTTAAAAACCTTTGAACTGCCTTTTTTAACTTGTCTCTTACAGCATTGAATCATAATTATCACACTGTATTGTGTTTGATCGTGAAAGGAAACTGTCAGCATACCTTCACTGTCATTGTGGTCTATGGTCTTGCTCTCTGTGCAGCTTTCTTCCTCAAACTTCTCCACCTCCTCTCTCTGATTGTGGTCAAACTCTAGCAGCATGTTGATCAGTTCATTAGCTGCCTCCTCCACCAGTGAGCTCTTCATGTTCACTTTCTGGGCTTGTCTTATGCAAAGGTCCTAGACACATGCAGATATACAGTTCAGTTCAATGTAATTAATCTTTAGAATAAGAAATAATGTTTAAATACAGAAAAAAGTATTTTAAATGTGTGAGAATTACCAAAACCACTTAATAAATATTGATAGCATCTTTCAGATGTCTGCATAGTTACACAGACTTAGTAGAGCAACAATAACCCAGCGGATACTTTTATTTTATTTGTCTTCGTTTACCCTGGTGGTTTGAACAAACTCCTCACAGGTCACAGGCTCATCCTCTGGCAGGACACACAGGTTGGATATGCTCATCTCCTGCAGTACTGCTTCTATTCTAAACTCCACCAGGTCATTCACTCTGTCCATCAGCAACTCAAGATCAGCTAAACAGACAAAAAAAACCACACAAAAGAGAAAGGGAGGGACACAAACCCACCAAAAATAAGGGAAAGAGGGAAAAATCAAGGGGAACTTGTTATGCGTTTGAACAAAGGAGAGAACAGTGATAAACAGACAATTCAGTATAAAAAAAGACAATGTGTAGAGAGAGAAAGAATCTATTGAATATATGAGTGTTACTTGTGAGAAAGCCACCTATGCAATAAATCCATTAATCACACGCAGCCAGTGCTGAGTTGCAGGAATGTCTCGTGTACAGGATCGATCTCGTTACATTTTTTGCTTACCCAACACTTTGTCGATGCGGTCGAGATACTTGTCAATATTCAGAGATGTCCAGTTGAGGGAGGTCAAACCCGGTTGTATAGCCTCATCCACCTGTCAAGTAAGTCATGTATGGTATGATGATGGTGATGCACTTTGTAAGCAACCTGCTGTGACAGTCAGTCTCATACCTGTCACCAGTTTAATGCTTAGAAAAGATTCATGACGAAACCAAGCAACAATAAAAAAGGATCTAACATTTTTTTGTGTGTTCTTCTGACTTACTAGAGACAACTGAAAATAAAAACATAAAATCAAATGAAATCAAATAAAATGAGTCCTATTTTGAACTTTTATGTAATCACATGACGCTCGATCATGGGATGCTGGGTTGGACTGAAATGCAGGACTTTGCAGAGAAATATAAAATCAAAACAAAGCTTTATTAGCTAGCACTGGCAAACATAATTTAGCTAACTGGAGCGCGCACAACATGAAGGATTTGACATCGACATGATAAAGAACAGAGGGAAACCATCCATCCTTAGACTACGATGACTGAGAACCTTCACAGACACATCCATCCATCCATTTTCTTACCCTTATCCGGGGCTGGGTCTTGGGGCAGCAGCCTAAGTAGAGAAGCTGAGACCTCCCTCTCCCCAGTCACCTCCTCCACTACCCAAAGCTCATGACCACAGGTGAGGGTAGGGACAAAAACTAACTTTGAGTCAAGCTCAGTTGCTTTGATCTCTTGCCCAAGATGTTGATTTTTTTTATTTTTACCAAAGTTCATTTTTTGGGTTAAATAAAAAACACTTTTTTGGACTTTAACCTGTGCCTGACTGTCCTTTACTGTTCGGTCAATCACTCTAGGATTCCCAATCCCAGCCGGCCACCTCGCACCAAGGGCGCGTCTCCAGGAGACTAGTTCCAGAGCCCAAGCCATTCACATCCACCATATCTAGCCGCTACCTCTCAACACTCACACACTAACTCAGGCTCCTTCTCCATGAGAGAGGTGACATTCCATGTCCCAATTGCTAGTTTTGGTAGCCGAGGGTCGGTCCACTTACCTTAGCTACATGTGGCATGGCCAGCTGTTCAAAGACACTCTGAATCTTGGCATGCACTCTAGTGTTCTCGCTCAACATCAGCTGAAATGAGATAGATGCATGTTGGAGCATTTTTGCAATCACACAAAAGGGATGAACTGAATTTTTCAGTTGACAATAAAATGGGTTTTTGTCGATTTTAGTCATTTTAAAAAATCTGTGTGGAATTTAAACACAATTCCAGGATGTTTTATACTCCTACAGGGAGTGCAGAATTATTAGGCAAGTTGTATTTTTGAGGAATAATTTTATTATTGAACAACAACCATGTTCTCAATGAACCCAAAAAACTCATTAATATCAAAGCTGAATGTTTTTGGAAGTAGTTTTTAGTTTGTTTTTAGTTTTAGCTATTTTAGGGGGATATCTGTGTGTGCAGGTGACTATTACTGTGCATAATTATTAGGCAACTTAACAAAAAACAAATATATACCCATTTCAATTATTTATTTTTACCAGTGAAACCAATATAACATCTCCACATTCACAAATATACATTTCTGACATTCAAAAACAAAACAAAAACAAATCAGCGACCAATATAGCCACCTTTCTTTGCAAGGACACTCAAAAGCCTGCCATCCATGGATTCTGTCAGTGTTTTGATCTGTTCACCATCAACATTGCGTGCAGCAGCAACCACAGCCTCCCAGACACTGTTCAGAGAGGTGTACTGTTTTCCCTCCTTGTAAATCTCACATTTGATGATGGACCACAGGTTCTCAATGGGGTTCAGATCAGGTGAACAAGGTGGCCATGTCATTAGTTTTTCTTCTTTTATACCCTTTCTTGCAGCCACGCTGTGGAGTACTTGGACGCGTGTGATGGAGCATTGTCCTGCATGAAAATCATGTTTTTCTTGAAGGATGCAGACTTCTTCCTGTACCACTGCTTGAAGAAGGTGTCTTCCAGAAACTGGCAGTAGGACTGGGAGTTGAGCTTGACTCCATCCTCAACCCGAAAAGGCCCCACAAGCTCATCTTTGATGATACCAGCCCAAACCAGTACTCCACCTCCACCTTGCTGGCGTCTGAGTCGGACTGGAGCTCTCTGCCCTTTACCAATCCAGCCACGGGGCCCATCCATCTGGCCCATCAAGACTCACTTTCATTTCATCAGTCCATAAAACCTTAGAAAAATCAGTCTTGAGATATTTCTTGGCCCAGTCTTGACGTTTCAGCTTGTGTGTCTTGTTCAGTGGTGGTCCTCTTTCAGCCTATCTTACCTTGGCCATGTCTCTGAGTATTGCACACCTTGTGCTTTTGGGCACTCCAGTGATGTTGCAGCTCTGAAATATGGCCAAACTGGTGGCAAGTGGCATCTTGGCAGCTGCACGCTTGACTTTTCTCAGTTCATGGGCAGTTATTTTGCGCCTTGGTTTTTCCACACGCTTCTTGCGACCCTGTTGACTATTTTGAATGAAACGCTCGATTGTTCGATGATCACGCTTCAGAAGCTTTGCAATTTTGAGACTGCTGCATCCCTCTGCAAGATATCTCACTATTTTTGACTTTTCTGTGCCTGTCAAGTCCTTCTTTTGACCCATTTTGCCAAAGGAAAGGAAGTTGCCTAATAATTATGCACACCTGATATAGGGTGTTGATGTCATTAGACCACACCCCTTCTCATTACAGGGATGCACATCACCTAATATGCTTAATTGGTAGTAGGCTTTCGAGCCTATACAGCTTGGAGTAAGACAACATGCATGAAGAGGATGATGTGGACAAAATACTCATTTGCCTAATAATTCTGCACTCCCTGTAGTTACATGCAGCTTTGATCATTTGGTTGTTCACTGTATGCATTTTTGAAATTTTAGCTACAACTGTGTGCTATGCTCACCTGTATTCTATTGTAGTGTTTCTTAAAGACGTCCTGTTTTTGCAGCAGTAGAAGAGCAAAGGGAGGGATTGCCAAATTCATCTTTGTCATGCAGTTCACCTCTCTGATCTGCGTCAGAATCTCTGGGTCAAAGTTCACAAATAACTCGCCAGTTTCTGGAGATCTGACCAGAAGAGAGGCTTGCAGGCCAACTTTGGCATCCTCCATCTGCGTTGAGGTGTTTAGTGAGGTTTATGTGAAGAGATGCAGGGAAAATGTGTGAATAAGAGGGGAGAAAAGATGTTCATTCAGTTTGTGTTTCAGATCCTCAAACTAATTTTAATATTAGACAAAGATAACCCAAGTATGGACAAAATGTAGTTTTTTCCAGCAAGAACTGCAATGATTCTTTTATCTCGCTGTAGAAGAACTTTGCCTCTTTCTTGTTTACAGAATTGTTTTAATTCAGCCACACTAGAAGGTTTTCAAGGACAAGTCATGGCAAAACACCTCAATCTGATTTAACTCCAGACTTTGACCGGGCCACTCCAAACCCTTCATTTTGTTTATTTATTTATTTGTCATTTCCACTTTATTTGTCAGTGACCAAGCAAAAACAGAACCTCTGTAGAGAAAGGATGCATTGTACCAGATTTAGCTGCTAGCTTGTTTTCATCTGCAGCTCCTGAGACGTTGAGACATTCATAGGTGGACTTCCTGGTGTTTTTCACATCTGTTGTCCTGCTACATAACCCAATTACACTTCAGTTTGTGCCACTTCAAGGCACAAACTGATGGCCAGACATTGTCCTTCAGGAGCTGGTGTGATATTGCTTTTATGAAATGCTGCATTAGTTTTGTGCTGGATGTCACTCTCATCAGTCCACAAAATATATCGGGGAGCATTACGATGTTTTTTGGCAGATCTGAGTTTGGCAACAGTGGGACTGATTTGATGAAAGAGTTTTCATAGTTGACAGTTTAGTTTTTACAATGGGGTTTAGTGTTTTAGCAATTCAGAAAAACTCTAATACACCTGTGCTTTTCCCAGCAACTGAGGCTTTTACCCTGCACAGTTTAAGGTATGATAAAGCACTGACCTTATAAATGGCACAAAATACACATTTTAGCTGGGAGCTGGTCATTCACAGGCGAAAGGCTCCATTGTACAACAACAACAACAGTAGTAATAGTAATAATAAATTATTGTTAGTCAGGCAAGTATATCATATACCAAACATGCTTCCAAACTAATGACATTTTTTGCATTCTTCACATCAGGTCAAAATGTACTTTTTTTAAAAAAGTGACTGGCACTGCGGAAATGGATCTACAGCACCACTTAAGAAATTTTAAAGAACTTCTAACAACTTATTTACAGCTTGAAATACGTGTATGACATTTATTACACACAGATTCAGTGAACCCAATCCAAAGAGGAAGTCTGGAAGTCCGCCATTTTGAATGTAAAATGACATTTTGGCACAGTTTTAGTGTTTTCCAGGCATCGCTGGTTTACACATTCGCCTGCAAAGTGAGAGGTCACTGGTTAAAGTCCATTTGGTTACTTCAGGAACTTTTTGGGGTTACTTCAGAAAGGGACATCTTCGTCAAAGCCATGTTTGTGGTGGAATTTTGATCATTTATCACTGGACATAAGATTTTCATCTCTAAAAATGTATTTTGTCCAGTCTGTCCCAAACTTCACACTTTTGATGACAGTCTGGCGACGACTACATGCCAATATCTGGTCACACATGGTGCCACAGTTCTCATATAACATTTTAATCAAGACTACCCCACTGTGATTGAAGTATTTCTTGCAAAACAATCATAACCAAACAAAACCTTTCCTGTTCTGTAAATGAACAGTAGGACAAAATGATTACTAGTCATTGCGGAAAGCACGATTAATGTTTTTGTTTACATCGTTGGAACGAGGAAAAATTCCCCCACCACAAAAACAGAAATACTCATGAAAGCAACCTGTAGTGCAAACACGAGGGCTGAATTTATTACTTCCTGCACTAGAAACCTGCCGATGTTGCTGATATGGATAGATCACCAGTCTTCCTTGTCTTTATCTTATTATCTCCTGTTGAGATGTTGCAGCAGAAAATGCAGCCTGGCCTGTTGAAACATTGTTTTTTTTTAGTGTTTCAACTGAAAAAATAGAATGCCTTTGATCCAAATGGAATGCATCTTGTGAAAAAAGGTGACATCTTGTGACATCACAAGATGATGACATAGATCCTTTGTTATGTCATCATCTTGCTGAGAGAAAAAACCCTTAAGTAGGAGCTTTGCTCTGTTAAACTTTAATGCTCAACGGACCTTGACCTGACAGCAAGCAAACCCTTTTTGGAGAGTTTTGAGAGAATTTTACTTAGCAATTCACCGACCAAGCCGACACATTTCACCATGTCAGCTCACCCATCCTTCAGCTCAAATGAGCTTGGATTAGTTAAAGGGAGCATTTTGGGAAAGCACTACAAGGTAGAGGCTTTCCTCGGAGAAGGGGGCTTTGGTATTGTAGCCAAATGTCGTGATACCATGACTAACCGAGCTGTGGCTATTAAAGTGAACAAGAGCCGCCCTGATATTCTGCAACAGGCGAAATTGGAAATTTTCATCCTGGAGCAGCTGCGAAGGTTGGATTCAGATGCCGCCAACATTGTTCAATGGGACGGCTTTTTTCACGACGGAGAGCGGGTTTGCCTGAAATTTGAACTCCTTGATCAATGCTTGACGGACTACATAGGGGACCGGAAAAACCACTGTCTCCCCATAAGCGAAGTCAGGCCAATTTTAGGTCAAATCACAAATGCTCTGTCCCACCTGGGTTCTGTGGGAATGGTGCACGCTGACCTCAAACCTGGAAACATCATGGTTGTAAACCGCCATGAGTCTCCCATCAAAGTCAAACTTATAGACTTTGGCCTCGCATGTCCTGCGTCTGCAGTGATGCCTGGTGACCGTGTGGGGACGGTTGGTTATTGTGCACCTGAGGTTATGCTTGGCCTTCCTTACAATGAAGCAATTGACATGTGGTCTCTGGGGCTGGTAGCTGTGGAGCTTGCTACAGGACTGCCACTCTACCCTGGAAATGAAGACTATGATGTTTTGAAATTCATCATAGAGACTCAGGGTCAGCCACCAGATCATGTTCTAGACTCTGGCGTCTACACTGAAGACTATTTCATTGAAGACAAAGACAAGCAACAGCGCTGGACATTTAAGACTGACCTACAATTTCAGTATGAGACAGGATATGAGTCCCTGGAGACAAGATGCATAAAACTGACGCGTCTGGATGACCTTGAACAAATAATAATGTTTAGACGAGGACCAGAAGCTGGCCAACGCTTATTTGTCGGCTTAATTAAACAGATGTTGGCCTTGGATGCACACCAGCGGATAACACCCTCGGAGGTTCTCCGGCATCCCTTTTTCAGCCCTAAGAGTTCCCTGTGCATTGACATGAGTGCTGAAATATCACAAAACCCTGTGGTCTTTCAGCACCCTTCAAACTTGGAAAGCAAGAGATCACAGAAAATCAACTGCAGTTTTCAAAACTCGGTTGAATTTTCTCAGCAAGTATTCGTCCACACATCAGCCAGTCCATCATTCAGCTCAGATGAGCTTGAATTAGTTAAAGGGAGCATTTTGGGAAAGCACTACAAGGTAGAGGCTTTCCTCGGAGAAGGGGGCTTTGGTATTGTAGCCAAATGCCGCGACACAACAACCAACCAAGCTGTTGCCATTAAAGTCAACAAGAGCGACCCTGATATTCTGCAACAGGCACATGTGGAAATTTTCATCTTGGAGCAGCTGCGAAGGTTGGATCCAGATGCCGCCAACATTGTTCAATGGAACGGCTTTTTCCACGACGGACAGCGGGTTTGCCTGAAATTTGAACTCCTTGATCAATGCCTGTGGGACTACATAGGGGACCGGAATAAACAGGGTCTCCCCATAAGCGAAGTCAGGCCAATTTTAGGTCAAATCACAAATGCTCTGTCCCACCTGAGTTCTGTGGGAATAGTGCACGCTGACCTCAAACCTGGAAACATCATGGTTGTAAACCGCCATGAGTCTCCCATCAAAGTCAAACTTATAGACTTTGGCCTCGCATGTCCTGCGTCTGCAGTGATACCTGGTGACTTTGTGGGGACGGTTGGTTACTGTGCACCTGAGGTTATGCTTGGCCTTCCTTACAATGAAGCAAGTGACATGTGGTCTCTGGGGCTGGTGGCTGTGGAGCTTGCTACAGGGTGCCACTCTACCCTTCGGAGAATGACTATGATTATCTGAAATTCATCATAGAGACTCAGGGTCAGCCACCAGATCATGTGCTAGACTCTGGCGTGTACACTGAAAACTATTTCATTGGAGACAAATACAAGCAACAGCGCTGGACATTTAAGACGGAAGAACAATATAAAGGCTCTGTTCCAGGGACAGGACATGAATCCCTGGAGACAAGATACATAATACTTACACGTCTGGATGACCTTGAACAGCTAATGATGTTTAGACGAGGACCAGAAGCGGCCAACGCTTATTTGTCAGCCTAATTAAACAGATGTTGGCCTTGGATGCACACCAGCGGATAACACCCTCTCAGGTTCTCCGGCATCCCTTTTTCAGCCCTGGCCTCTCTAAAAGGTTCCCATGTATCAACATTGAAAGACCATACTGAATCAGTCTCCAGCATGGCATCTTCCACCCTGGACAAAAGTGATAAAAATACAAACTGGGGTTGGAAAATGACATTAACAGCAAATTACAATGCAAAAATTAATTAAGCTGCTCCAAAAATGATCACTTTGGCTTCTTTTTTTTAAATTTTCACTCCCCCCACCCCAACCAGTCGTGGCAGAGGGCTGTCCCTTCCTGAGCCTGGCTCTGTTGAAGGTTTCTTCCTTTTTAAAGGGAGTTTTTCCTTCCCACTGTCGCTAAATGCTTGCTCATAGGGAAATCTTCTGATTGTTGGAGTGGCCAAAACTCTAGGGGAAGTAGCAATTCTTGTGAAAATTTAAAAAAAAAAGCCTACCAATCTTCAAAGCGCAGCAGTGGACACCTTACCATCACATCAGTCCTTCAATCAGACCTAAAACACCACCTTTACAGAAATAAATTCCATACAAATTGGAAATAAATTGCGTAATAATTGTTGTTTTTGATTGTTTATAAATATATAGAGCTACCCTTCAGCCTCCTAGTAG